CGTAATCAAGCCCACCAGATGTATTCCCAGAGCTCATGGCATGGGAAAGAGGATCAAGTCGAGGGTTTAGGGTTTAGGGTGCAGTTACGTCATGGGTACTCGTTGGTGTGGGGGGGCACGCCCAAGCCGCCGCACGAGTTCAAGCCTTCCTGGTGCCAGTTCCTCAAGTTGTCTCGTCGGGCGGATGAGGTGATAGGGCTGGCCGTCACCGAACAGATGCAGGGGGAGTGCATGTTGGCTTTTTCTGAGGCTGCCTTGGCAGGTGCTTTTAAACGTTCTCCGTTTTGGGAGGATGACGGAACCCACGCAAGAAGCACCCAGGCCTCCTCGCGAGCCAGAGGTTTTTCTGTGAGGAGACAGGAAGTGCCGGAGTTTGCCCAAAAGAGTCCGGGGTCTTGCTTTACCTGCGAACCCAAATCCGGGGAGTCCCTTCTCCCTCCCCCGCACCATCTTAAATCCTGAGCCCTAAAGCCTAAACTCCTCTAAGCGCTAAGCCCTAATAGGAAGGGACCAAGCCCGAGAAGGTGTGGTGCTGTGCCCACGAACACCTCGGCTGCGGTGAGACCTTTGACTGCGAGGCCGAATTTTAGGGGGTTTAGGGATGGGGCTTGCGGCTCATAGTTAAGGAGTTCGGGAATCTCGGAGGCCTCAAAAGGTGGGATGAAGGTAGGTGGGATATTTCCTACCTACCTTCATCCCCCCTTTTGAGGCCTCCGAGATTCTGGGGTTGAGAGATTGGGTTTATGGTTTAGGATGGTGTAGGAATGACAGTTCATGGTGTTAGGGGTGTTTTCAGGTCGAGTTTGCAGTGAGAGGGGTCAACATCAGGCCCTTAACACTTAGACTAGGGCTCGGGGGTATGTTAGACTATAGTACTATAGTTATAGTAGGGAACCACCAAAGCAGTATTGGCAAGTATTTAGGGGTGCCTGTAGTATGGATTCGAAGTCCGCGGCGAGTCTCCGGGGCTGAGGTTTTTTGAGTTAGGGTTTAGGGTTTAACCCTAAATCCTAAACCGTAGGGTTTAGTGCAGGGAAGCCCTCTCTTTAACAAGCGCGCTCGGAGGTTTCAATTTGGGGCGATAACAAAATCCCCGCAGGCCCAAGAGTCTAAGAGGAAAGACGACAAACTTGTGCGGCCGCTGCTGTAGACATAGAGGGGCGCCTTAATAATTAGAATAGGGTTTGGGGGTAAAATTATACTACAATTAGGAGCCCCCGAAGCCCTATTCTGATTACCAAGGCCCTACAGTACCTATAGTAAACCAAGATGCTGATCGCCATGGCCCGAAACCCGAAACCCTAGACCCTAAACCGCTCGTGCCTCATCACTACGGTTGATGATATAAATCCTGCATTACCCATAATCAGGAATATACCACAGTTGTCATAGTTTAGGGTCATTAAGGTAATGCAGGATTTATACCATCAGCCGTAGCAGCTTCGAGCGGGGTCTCCTAAAGGCGAAACAGTCTGAATCATGCGCCCAAAACTCCAATGCTTCTACTTTTGGTTGCCTTAGCTTATCCCTATAAGCCCCAAAGTCCTCAACATTAAACTTCAATTTCCTAGGGCCGAGGCCTACCTCGACCACCAAAACGTCGTTGTGCGGATTTCTACAACCTTCTAGGACCTCGACACCCTAAACGAAACCCGACATGCAAGCTCCAAAATAGGGGCCGAAACAACTACCAACACTATTTTTGGGGCTCCAGTATGATAGTTGTAGTATAACGGGCCCCAAAACCTTGTTCTGCTCATCTTATAGATCCCTTATCACCCCTTTACGGGGAAACCCTATTCTAATTCTTAAGGCCCTTACCAGCTTTAGACCTCCAGCCCTCCAGTTGCGAGACCTTCGCCCTTTCCCAGAGAGCCCAATACCCCTTAATTAGGGAAGAAGGCTTAAATGATATAGGGCTTCATATTATTTTTAAGCCATCTTCCTTAATGAAGGGATATTGGGCTCTCTGGGTTCTCATCGCTTGCTCAGACTGGCTTTGAGCAGTGGGAGATCCTGTGGACGACTCCGCAGATCCTTGGTCTTACGGTTTAGGGTTTAGGGATCCTTGGCCCGTGTCATTACGGTATATTATATTATAGTTATAATAAGGAACCCCCAAAATAGTATTGGTAATTATGACGATTCCACAGCTCCTTGGTCTTACCTTTGGTAGTAGGGAATGGAGGGGGCCTTATAAAGGGGTCTATAAGGGGTACTATAAGGGTGCTATAATTTAGGGGCCTTAACAAATCCTATAACTTACCTTTGGTTAGTAGGGAATGGGAGAATGGCAGAAATAGTAGCTATAATTCCTCCGTTCCATACTAACCAAAGGGGAGTGGTCCGTATCATTACGACCCCTGTTCTTATTGCCAGTCTCGTAATTGCCCATACTGTTGCTGCCATTATTTGTATGCTTTTCATCCCACATTTTCTTACTCTTCATTGTAGTGGGTAGTTACATAATTTTAACTATAACTATGATGATGATGATGATGACGGTGGCGAGTACTACATATCATGCTGGTGGACTTGCCGCAACTACTGTGCTCATGATTGCTATGCGATCGCTGTCGTTGCTGCTGCTGCTGCTGCTGCTGCTGCTGCTGCTGCTGCTGCTGGTGCTTTTGCTGCTGCTGTTGGTTATCGTTCCTTCGTTGTTGTTGATGCTGCCACAGTGACTTGTTTAAGTAGCTCACTGGCGGCCAATACCAGCCGTACCAGCATGATTGTTAGTGCTCAAGAAGTTGAGGTTCCTATCCTACTTGTTAGTCTTTACATTGAGATGCCCGTTGGCCCTGAACCCTAAACCCCTCAAGCCGTAAGCCCCAGAGCCCTAAACCCCGTAAGCTCGTATGGGTGGTGGTCAAAATTATGGTCCCGTTTTGGGTCCCGATTATAGTACGGCAACTATCATTTAGGGTCCCCCAAAAGGGACCATAATTTTGACAACCATCCATATTCTAAACAATGAAGCTTCAGGCTCCTAGAATCCCAAACGCGTAATGGCAAAGCTTCGACCTGTTCCGCTTCTTGATCCGGAACCACAAGAAACAGGGCTCAGGATTTGGGGGTTTCGGGTCTATAGGGTTTAGGGATTAGAGTTTAACGGTTTAGCATGTTTCAGGGTTGAGGGTTTGGGGATTAGGGTTTGGGGGCAAGCATGCAGGGCGAAGAGCCCCTCGAACCCTAAACCCTCAAGCCTCCAAGCAGCTCTTAGGAAGCACTTCTGCTGCCACACAGAAGGAAAAGCTTGCCGGATGCCTCAGACGGTTTTGGGTTTAGGGTTTACGGTCCGCAGCCCATCCTTGGCCACAGCTCAGGATTTACATTGAGTGGAACGCCCACAAGCCTGCTTGTAGCCGTTATGAAACCCCAATAGAAACCTTCCAGAAGCAAGGACCTTGACCCAAAGAACCTTGACAGAACCCGTAGAAAACTCTACAGAATGATAGCACGCCGTAGACCACAATAAAGCCCATCAGTACTTGTAAAGCCTCATAGAACCCACACTACAGCCTACACCCGAAACTTTCTAAACCCTACACTGTAACCCATGGTGTGACAAGACAAAGGCTACGACTGCGCAGCCGGCTTCGCCAATTGGGAGAGGCTTCGAGCTTCCGGAGAGTTCTTTTTGTATGAGGTTTTTGTTTTTCTGATTTAGGGTTTAGGGGGTTGGGGATTAGGGTTTTAAGGTTTGTTGTTGTTTCTAAAGGTCGTTTGAGGGCGCGTTTTGGGTTGATGGTCGGGGTTTTTGGGGTTTTGCTTTTGGGTTGAGCGTTAGGGGTTTAGGTTGGTTGGGGGCTTCAGGTTCATGGCCTTTCGGGGTGAGAAAGATGCCCCTTCAGCTTCCGCTCGTGATCTAGGTCGTAGCTGTGATGGGGTCCTGATTGTGACAGCGATGGTGGTTGTGGTAGCAGTGCTGGCAGCCGCAAGATAGATAGAAGCCCAATCTAAATAGTTAGTAACAGCACTACTAGCTAGCTCAAACCCAAACCCTAGACCCTGAACCCTGAGCCCTAAACCCTAAAATCCTAAACGGCGAGGCAGGTCCGACTCTCTGCGACACACAGAAAGACGAGCCACTGCACTTAAAAACAAAATCCTAAACTCTAAACCCCAACCCTTAAATCGCCTAGCTGAAAATCTTGCAGGGGCTGGTCTGCTGCCAAGAAGGCCTACTGCTGCGAAAAGGAGGACAAGGCCCCTTTTCGGGTTAAGGGTTGATTCAGGCTTTGGGGTGTTTTAGGGTTTAGGGTTTTAGGTTTCTTTGTGCTATAATTGCTAGGATACACGTTTGAACAAGGTGCTATAAGGGCACTCTAAGGGATGGGGCTTGAAGGTTCAAAGATTTAGGCTTTCGGTTTGGAGGCTCGCAACCGGTTTTTGGTCTTCTGAACTTCTGATTTCGGGGTCAGAGTGCCGTGGTTTCAGGAATGATCGCCATCTCCTAGAATGTTACAGACTTGGTCATAGCACTGCTCTATGTCGCTCGTGCATTTCTGTATGTCCGCATTATCGAAAGTCTTGTTGCTTTTGCCATCCTCAGCAGCGTAGTAGTCGTCGTCGGCGTCGGCGTCGGCAGAGTCGTAGTTCTAGTCGACGTAGTCGCATGTTCTTTCAGTAGGGAGTGGGTAATAGTTTTTGTAGGTAGTAGTAAGAGCATATAGCAGAAGTAGAATACCCGTATAGATGTCGAAGTACAAGTAGTCTTCTTCCCACTACGTCGTCCTGTCTCATGCGGCCGCTCCCTTCGTCTTGCAGTGAGCCCTATGAATTTTGACTCAATGCAAGCCCCAGACTTCCGAAGTCGGGGATTTGCACTTGAGGTCGAGTGTTTTTGTTGAGGAAATCTGTGGTTTTGGTGGGGCACATACTTGTCGTTCTCTGCCCGCAGCCCATCTACAGCATCAATCGGTCCGTTCCTGGCTGCAAACTAAGATTTGCACAAGCTCGTCGCAATGGGATGTGCCGCAGGGTCTGCCGTCCGCGACATGAAGGATTCGACAGTGTGCCATGTGCCGGAAGCATTTCCGACTCCACGGCAGGTCCTGCCACCAGACCATCGAACACACGAACTTTACGTTCGCGAGCTGAATGCTTACCTCACCTTGGTGGCAAAGCATCCGCAGGCTTTCCAGAACAAGGTCCGGGGTGTGTTCCGACATAGGCAGCATCAAATCACCTGGCGACAATGACAGTGACAATAACCCTACACGCTGAGTCCTAAACTCCTAAACCCTACACCCTATACACTCAAAGTGGGTATAGCTGGTAAGCCGTTCCACCGAAGCAAGATGCCACCATCGTGCGCTTGAGCCAATTTCTCAGGGTTATGTGCGGTTTAGGGTTTCTTTTCCGCCAGTTAAGTTAGAACACGGATAAACGCGCCGTAATGTCTTTAGTTTAGATGCAAAGAAACTTTACTTTCTTAACCTTCAGCCTTAAATCCTAATCTTATGGCTTCGATCTGTTGCGATCCAGCCTTTTCAATTTTAGAAGCCACCGGCAAGTGTTCAAGGCGACAGGGCACCCAGGGCAGCGTAAGTCACCCCTAAGCCCTACATCCGAAACCGGGCTACAAAAGAAGCGGCAAGTCAGAAATTCGGATACCGAGTCTGGGTCTAGCGGGTTTGTTTCAAGAGTAGGGCTTAGGGTTAGGGGTTCAGGGTGGGGGTTTACGGTTTTAGGGTTTAAGGTTTGGGGGTTCGCGGCGTGGGCTTAGCGTAAATGGTCTTGGGGGATTTGGGGTTCGGGTTTAGGGCTTGTCGTGTTAATCCTTGCCTTGGCTACTTAATCACGGTTGTCCAAATAAAATAGATTTCCTCAGTCACAACCTCAAGTCGTTTAGTCTTTAACGTCTGAGCTTCGTGCCACACATGCCAAATGCAATTGATAATCTTTCTTGTGCATCCATCGAACAGCTAATGTGGGCTGGCCTTCAAATGCTTTACTCTAAGGTCGAATGCAGGCAGCTTGACATCTTGTAGGAAGCATGTGACCCAACGATGCTCTCCCAGGTGGAGATGCGCCTCCGTGATCGTTTGGGCGCATGCTCCGTGGGAAAGCAGGAGTGGCAGCAGGAACCAGCCACTTCGCATGATGTGGAGTGGGTCTCTGTCGGTATATAGCTGCGGCTCTCCAGGACGGTTCATGTGCCCGGTTCGGGTCGTCATTGTCGTCTGACTGCGCAACCGGCGCCAGCCGCGAGCAAAGGACTGGGTCGAAAATGCACAGCAGAACGAAGGTAGTGGCTTGGATCATGTACATTGAGACGGAGTCCGCAGCGAAGGCAAGCTTTCGAGTGGGAACGAATATATCCAGGACTTCCCAACTCGGTCCTAAATCCTAAATCCTACACCTTAAACTTTAAACCCTTAACCGTAACGCGCTGCTTGCTTCGACTTTAGTGCTTTTGTCCCTCCGACGGCTAAGCCAAACTCGGAGCGGACCGGCTTTATGACTTTAGTGAACTTTAGTGTATTTTTCTTCGTCTTTCGGAGATCCGACGACCTCGAGTTTCACGCTCCATGCCCAAATCTCGTGGCTCCTTCGCGGAAGAATTTCCGTGAGTTGGCTCTGCCGCCCCTTGTTCATAATCCACTGGGCTTCTCGGTTGCCACATCACAGAAGCTTAGGGTACTGCCCCCACTCAGTAACACTTGGATAATATTCATACTATAGATATATTAGGACCTTAATAGTAGCCCTATTATAGACTGTTACTGTATGGGGGCAGTACCCAACAGAAGCTAACTTCTGTGGAGCAAATCCGAGAGGTCAAAAGTCAAAAAACATCTGGGAATCTTGGAACCCATGTCTTCTTTCTTCAGTTCACTAGGACCCAGAGTAGGCCCTTATTCCCTTTTGCAGGGTTTAGGTTCCCTTATGACCCCCTTTAAACCAAAAAGGGCACCCTTTTTGTTCCTAGGTTACTCTTGGATCTAGTTCAGGTAGGTAGTTACCTATACTATTTGGGGGTTCCTTATTAGAACCACAGTAGAGTGGGCCCCAAAACCAGGTAGGTAGAATAGCAAGTGCAGCACTCACCATCGTTATGTCAGACAGACAGATCCCAACCCGAAGCCCGAAACTCCTAAACCTTAAAACCCCTCAACCGTGAAACCTGAAAACCCGAAACCGCTTAAACCTTGAACCCTAGATCCTCAAGCCAAGCGCCAGAAGCCCAAGACCCCTGGTGTTGAGTAGCCCGCACGGCTCTCGTGTCGAAGATCGTAGTTTCCGAGAAGACGTCGAGTCCGTTGCAGTGAGAATGAAATCGGCAAAAAGCAATTGTAGGGTTTAGGGGTTTAGAGTTATTTAGGACTTTCGGGTTTGGGGTTTTAGAGGTTTAGGGTTTCGGGGTTTCAGGGTTTAGGGCTTTGGTTTGTTTTTTTCGCAGCAGAGGGTTTAGATTTCGGGACTGGCAGGCAATCTTCAGTCCGACCCTCACGGGCCCCATCAACCCTACCATGAAAGCCCGGCTCTCTTTTTGTTGGGGGGTTGGGGGTTGGTTACTTGTTTGGGGTTCTTACCTACAAGAGGCTAAGCGCTTCACTTCCTGGAGGGTTCAGAAGCCAGCCAAATGAAAGGACACTTTTCTCAATCACAACACCCTAAACCGTAGTCGTAAACCCTGAAAGAAAGATTTTTGGGGGGGCGTTGAGGGTACTCAGCCCCACAAGCTGTGAGTTGATGCAGTCGAGATCTCGATCTGTGGCTTTACAAGGACTTGAGTTGATAGGGTGTGTGCTTGGGTTAAGGGCTTATGGTGACGATGCTGTAAGGTCGTTGACGCTTCCAAGAATTGCATGCTTTCTTGTGTTCGTAAGCCACATGATTGAGTACCTTGCAAAACTGTGAATGAATCGTCTTCGGATGACCCTTCAGTGTGGCCCGGGATTCAAGGCGCGAAGTAGCACCACTCTTTAGGAGGGAGTCACCTTGTATGGGTGGTAACTTGTCGTTCTCCGCCCGCAGCCCAGCTACAGCATCAATCGGTCCGCTCTTGGCTGCAAGCTAAGATTTGCACGGCTCGTCGCAATGGGATGTACCGCAAGTTCTGCCGTCCGCGACATGAAGGATTCGACATTGTGCCATGTGCCGGAAGCATTTCCAACTCCACGGCAGGTCCTGCCACCAGACCATCGAACACACGAACTTTACGTTCGCGAGCTGAATGCTTACCTTACCTTGGTGGCAAAGCATCCACAGGCTTTCCAGAACAAGGTCCGGGGTGTGTTCCGACATATGCAGCATCAACTCACCGAAGCAGCGACAATGACAACGTCCCTACACCCTAATTCTTAACTCCTAAACCCTACACCCTACAGAATCCTGAAACACTCAAAATGGGTATAGCTGATAAGCCGTTCCACGAAAGCAAAGACGCTACCTTCGTACGCTTGGGCCACTTTCCCACCGTAAGGGATAATGGATACACTGGGTTTTAGGGTTTGTTTTTTTCTGCCATTTGGCCGAGGCATCAGTCCCTGCTTGTTGGTTTATTATTTACAAACGCACCGTAAACGTTGTAGTCTAGGAGTCTAGACGCAAAAACTACTTTACTTTCCAAACCCTCAGCTTTAAATCCTGGACCTTGCAGTTCTCATGGCTTCGGTTTTTGCGATTCAGGCTTTGCAGTGTTAGAAGTAACCTGCAGCTGGTCAAGGCGACAGGGCACCCGAGTTTTTTTAATCATCCCCCAAGCCCTAGATCCGAAACCACAGTAGACGATCCCAAAGAAACGGTAAGTCAGAAATTCGGACAAGTAGGGTTTGTTTCAAGAGGAAGGTTTGGGGATGACGGGTTCAGGGTTTTGGTTTTGGGGTTCAGTGTTTAGGAGTTCGCGGTGTGGGCTTAGTGTGCACGGTTAGGGGTTAGTGTTCGGGTTTAGGGCCTTTCGGGTTAAATCCTTGCCTTGTGTAATCACGGTTGCCCAAGCAAACGAAACTGCTTCAGTCACAGCCTCAACTCTTTTAATCTTTCATGTCACCTTTCATGTCTGAGCTTCGTGCAGCACATCGGCTTGCAATTGATACTCTTTCCTTGTTCATTTAACAGCCCGAAGAGCTAATATGGGCTGGCCTTCAAGTGCTGTAGCCTAGAATTGAATGCAGGCAGCTTGACGTCTTGTAGGAAGCATGTGACCCCAAGATGCTCCCCCAGGTGGAGATGCGCCTCCGTGATCGTTTGGGCGCATGCTCCTTGGGAAAGCCGGAGTGGCAACAGGAACCAGCCACTTCGCATGATGTGGAGTGGGCCTCTGTCGGTGTATAGCTGCGGCTCTCCAGGACGGTTCATGTGCCCGGTTCGGGTCGTCACTGTCGTCTGACTGCGCATCCGGCTCCAGCCACAAGCAAAGGACTGGGTCGAACATGCACAGCAGAACGAAGGTATTGGCTTGGATCATGTACATTGAGACGGAGTCCGCGGCGAAGGCAAAGTCCGAGTGGCAACGAATATATCCAGGACTTCCCAACTCCTACAGACTCAACCCTAAGTCCTAAATCCTCAACCTTAAACCATAAATCCTCGACCCTGACCCGCTGTGTGCCCTGGACTTTAGTGTTTAGTGCCTTTGTCCCTCCGACGGCTAAGCGGCTTAGCCGAACTCGGAGCCGACAAACTTTAGATGATTTTATAGTGAACTCAGAAAGTTGGAACATTGATTTAGGATGATTCTTGCTGGGATTCCCTATACTTTACTTTAGGGCTACGAGGATAATTATGTTCCAACTTTCCGGCTTCTACTATAATACATGAACTTCCGCTTTTTTCTCGTCTCCCGGAGATCCAACGACCTCCAGTTTCACCCTCCAGGCTCAAATCTCATGGCTCTCTCGCGGAAGAATTTCCGAGAGTTGGCTCTGCCGCACTGCGGCCACACTCCTATGTAGGGTCCTAAATACTTACCTATACTATTTTGGGGTTCCGTATTTTCCTACAGTATGATGGGCCCCAAAGCCCTATTCTACCAGTAATTGTTAAGGCCCCTATATCAATCCTCGTCAGCCTGTTTTCTTTGCGGGGGGTGGGCTTCTCGGTTGCCACATCGCAGAAGCTATCTTCTTGTGGAGCAAATCCGAGAAGTCCCAACATCTGGGGATGTTGAAAACCCATGTTTCCTTTTCTTCAGTTCACCCTAAACCCTCAACCCTAAACCCCCGAACCCTAAACCCCTAAACTCTAAACCCTAAACCCCAAACCCTAAATACTAAAACCCTAAAACCCTAAAGAATAGCAAGTGCGACACTCATCATCAGATCCAAACCCGAAGCTCTAAACTCCTGACCCTTCAAACCCCAAAACCCTGAAACCCCAAAAACCCCAAGCCCTAAAACCTTAAATCCTAAGCCCACAGCCCGGAAGCCCAAAACCCTGGTGTTGAGTAGCCCGCACGGCCCCCCGCGCTTACGATCGTAGTTTCCGAGATGACGTCAAGTCCGATGCAGTGAGAAGGAAGTCGGCAAAAGGCAGTTTTTAGGGTTTAGGGGTTTAGAGTTTGGGGTTTTCGGGTTTAGGGTTTCGAGTTTTAGGGTTTAGGGCTTCGGTTGCGTGGGCATCTATGCTGTACGTAGAGGTTTTAGATTTGGGGACTGGGTGGCAACCTGTGTTGAAACCTCTTGGAGGTCCATTCCCCTTTGTCATAATGAATAGAACATTGGCTCTCCTTTTGTTTGTTCACTTGTTTGGGTTTGTCAGCTACAGAAAGGAGGCTAAATGCCTACCTCCCTTCAGCACAGCACTCTTCCAACAACAACTTTTAGGTAGGGTACTCATCTCCCCAGCTGCGAGTTGATGAAGTCGAGGTCCAGAGCTGTGAGTTTAAGGATTTGAGCTTATAGGGTTTGTGTTAGGGTTTAGGGTGTATAGGATTTGTTGATTCGATGAGGTTTAAAGCGTTTGGAGAGTTCAAAAGGTCGATTGAAGTACCTAAACCCCAAACCCTAAGCCCTAAACCTGAAATTGTCTACCAGGCCTTGATGTTTGTGACCCGGGAGCAGGCATCAAAAAGAAGCTCAAACAAAACCTGAAATATTGCTTGAACCCATGGTTGATCAGGCCTAAACCCCTAAACCCTAAACCCCAAACCCTAAACCCCAAACCAAAAACCCTAAACCTCTAAACC